CCAATGTAGACAAGCAACTGTCCACGTGACATGGTGAATAATTTGGCATTCAACATGCAAGCTTCTTGCCGATGCACAAGGCAACCGCAATTGCGGCAACACATGCACTCGTATCCTAGATCATCAAAATTATTCGTTGTTGTTGAGACGAAGCCGGTGAGTCGGAAGCTGCTGAGTGGGCTAGTAAAAATTAGCAGTTTGCAGGGTTGCCGAGATGACAACACTATTGCAGGTTTTGCAGCTGGGGAGAAATGTTCAAGGAATTCATGTTGCAACACTCTCAACCCCAGAAGCGCAAGTCGGCATTTCCACACTGAGAAAGTGCCTAGACATATATGCCACCGATATTTCAGCCACATATGAAGTGATTTGCAGATGCAATTCAATGGACAGGATCACTGGTAAAAAACAGGCAAGATGACACAGTCCTAACACGGTCTGGTCAAAACCCAACTGTGTACTTTCGGCAAATGTGGTCCCAAAAGTACATAGTTAGTACACACATTGATACAATTTTAACTGTGCATCCTAGGAAACCGTGTAGTCCACACAGTTATTTGAGGATACACAGTTAAAACTGTGTCAATGTGTGAACCAACTGCGTACTTTTGGGACCACATTCGCCGAAAGCACACAATTGGATCTTGAGCAGACCGTGTCAAGACTGTGTCATCTGGCCTGTTTTCCCTAGTGGATTCTCATTTGCGCTGGAGGATTCCAAGTACCATTTTAGGGTGCATATTTTCACTATATCGCAGCCATTGTCCATGTTTCATTTGCATGTTGGATATTTGTGTCATGGGTCGATGAAAATGCCTCTGATGAAGAGACGCCCGCTTGGCGTGTAAATTGACATGATATTCTACGCCCAACTAATGCACCAGCATTGGCAGCATATAATATTGCAGGAAGTTTGGTGCTCCCAGGGACGGAAACCTAATGAAGCTGCATATAGCCATTGGCTATATTTTGCGGATCCATGCATGCATGCATGCATGCAATTTCATGGTCGTGTTCACAGAATGTGGAACGACTGGAATAAAACTTCTATTCCACAGTGCCTGTCGTGCGTCATGATAGCAGCAGACATAGAAAGCAGATTTCGGCAACGTCATGCCATCTTCGGCATCGTGGCGATTATTGGGGCAACCCTGCGCCAAAAGAAGCATTGGATTCTGTGTTGGCCTCTACGGCAGTTTGATGACTACTTACTCGGACAGACAGAATCTGGTAATGCAAAGGAAATTACTGTTATTAGAGCTGGCGGCCCCCATTGGCGATGTTGGAGGGCATTTTGTGAGTCAGGTTGGGCGAAGGTGTAAAATCAAACAGAGCTCGGTGTTGAGACGGTGGTGTGTCTCAAGCGCGACTGGGTTTGGGGATCTTACGTTATATTTAAGTGGATGGAAAGCCTTTCCCTGGCGACTGCAACTAGCAAGTCGCCCCAGCCCATGGAGAGCTGCCGGTTGGTCGTTGAGACAGGCTTACCTACATAAACATGTGCATTTTGGTGAATAACCTTCTCTGCGGAATTGTTGGCCTTGCCTACTGTGCTCTTGGCCCCTTTTGTGGTTTATGGTCGAGGACAGTGCCTCGTCCAGCATGTCAGAACGTTGATGCCCAGCATGAGCTATTTTTCTACTCCTTCCTTAGCACCTGTGCGTTGTAGATTACTGATGCGATTTTGCTGCGAGCATTGCTGGCTTTATGACCTACATCAGGCCCGGCGTTTGCCTGGGTGTTCACCTTACTTCTGGCCTTTGTTCGTTACGGCTTGACCTCAATTTGTGCGTTTTTCCTTTTCTTTCCTGAGAGACTGGCTGATTTTTCGCTGCGCTTGGAATCACGTGCAAGTCTCGGGCAGTTGCGTTTCCGTGAGACCTGTGTTGTAATTAATATGCAATTGATTCTTGTCGGCTCCTGGATGCCGGTGGTCGCGATTTACATTGCTGCGGCCACCGCAATTTTGGCGATCAACGCCATCGGGATTCAGTTTCCCATGATGCCAATTTATCCAGCTATTCACTAGGCAAAAAAGGATCAAACGACACTTTTTGCGAACACATATGTATGCATTACATCAGTGTTTTGCATGCTAAATATACGAAAACCGTAAATTTTGTACACGTTTGAGCACGTGTTATTTGGCCCTTTTTCCTAGTGATGGTGGATTCAATTTTGCGCTCAGATGCGTGTCATTAAGTTGGTACGTTGCCACGCGTGCTGAGATTTTCTCAGATTCCTCGGCAGCCTTGGTTGCTGCTCTGATCTAGCTGCGCAAGAAATCGCGCAAACTTGTCACCGTGACAACCGTTACGCTGGTTCTCAATCTCACAATCGGTTTGGACTTTCTGAAATGTGTCACGCTCCTTGTCAACAGAGTTGCAGTTCGAAGAAGTCTAATTTCCTGGAACTTTCTGTAAAGAGCGAGCAGTTGGTGGTTTCCTGCACAGGGCTCCTAATGGCGATCGGATCTTTGATGGATCTATTTCTGAATTCGTTATCCCCGTTGCAATCGCCATCGTTATCTGATAGGCCGACGGCTTTAACATCACACAATTGCGTTCACTGCATAAATTGAAGTCCACTGATAAAACCGTGTACTGATGGCCCCAGAAGCAGTAAATTGTACACAGTCGTTCATCTTACTGGCGTCTCGACGCCAGCCTCACCACACTCATGGTTCCAGTACGCTAACTGCGATTGCTGTAGCAATCAGTAGCTACTATGCCCTTTAACATAGCTTAAGCGCACTATGCTATCAAAGACACGGCGCGTGTGATAGCCGTTGTGATTGCGGCTGTCATGGCAAATGCGTGGCTCCCAAGTTGGTTCCCAAGTGCATGATACACGTGATGGCCATTGCGATTGCCGCCAATGGCGCCTCCGACAGTCACGCGTTCAGCAAAAGACAAGTGGAATTGTTGGGGCCTCTGTGTTTCCGGCAAAAAATGAAAGGCAGAAGGGAGCCAATAACATAGTGATGCCAATCTGGGCAGAAGACTGAGTATGGGACAGACATATCATGGCATGTCACTGATCAGTGACCGCGGATTGGGTACTGCAAATCGTATTTGATTGTGTGCCACGTGCGCATGACGAATTGCGTGAGATCATGCAGCGCGTGAGCGTGGAGTGATGGGACATCTCGGGACACTTGCCAAGGGGTGCACCATGTGCATGACGGGCACCGACTTGTGAAGCGGCCCGTCTGTGTTGGACCAACTGCAGGGTGCTATCCAAATCGGGCTTGGGGCACATACCAGCCACTGTTGTACTTCACTGCCCCACTCTAAACCATTGGTCTCCGGTGGCCAAGTGCGAATTCATGAAGACTGGAGGCAGTATTGGTCTTCCACGTTGAACTGCCCGGGTGCCGTCATATCGCGGTATGAGGCTACCGTACCTCAAATGTGCCGTGCACCCTCGTAATTCGCTGCGAAACGCCACCAAGTCAGTGGGCACCTGTTCGTGAGCCCATCGGTAAGCAATCCGCAAGGCGCGCTTCAGCGGATGGCCGGGGGCCCTGTGGTGTTCCTATTGCGTTGCACGGTGGCAACAACCGGCTGCAAAAGTCGCAGGGTTCGTTTCTCACCGCGTGCGGATGCCCGGAAAGTGAATTCGTTAAGGTACCGGAACAGAAAACGGTGCCGCTGGGGAGGATAGCGAGCGCGCAGCAGGTTTCTTCGTGGGGCCAGGCTAGTGCGCGAGGGTTGGTTGTCTGGGGCAGCACTGCCTGAAGGGGTCACAGTCGCCAACGAGGGTTGTTGGCGACTCGGGCGGCTGACTGTCCTTCCTATCAACGTTTAGAAGCGCGAGGTCCGACGTTGCCACTGCGCATAAAAAGTGGACTTGTTTTGCCCCAACGCGGGCTGAAACTGCAGTCGCCGTGAGCGCAACATAACACCTCCGGACGCTCGCCTTCTTGGCCGTGCTGCACACCATGATGGCGCCTCACGGACTCCGTTCGGCGTAACCCACCACGAGACCTGCTTTACCGGAACGGTAACCCACATGCCTCTAAGACATGCCTTGGGATGTCTAGGGTGCGGCTTGTTCAGCGCATCGCAGGCAAGGGTGGCCCCCTGTGGTGCGTGCCTACCTCGCCCCTCACGGCTACGCAGTGGCCGCGCCTCACGTGGCGTGTCTTTGCGCACAGGCGCAGCCCAGATGGCGGACGGCGGTACCCTTCCCGAGGTGGTGCTACTGGACCCGCCCGCCGTTGTTATCGGCACCGACACCGCTGTGGAGGTGCATCTTTCGCACTCGCCGCCCGCCAGCCCCCCCATGCGCATCGCTATCTTCAAGAACGAAGAGCCCTTGACGCGGATTGCCTTGGGAGCGCAGACCGAGACGGTGGTGAGGCGAGTGATCCCGCCTCTCCCTCTCCTCCCCCTCCGCTGTTCTCCCCCTCTTCGTGCTCACCTCGAGCTAGCCGTCACACCGACACGAACGTCAGGTCAGCGGCGCCTAGTGCCTGACACAGCACAGGCTCCTGGAAAAGTTGCGGCTGACCCAGGCGGGCGCGGAGCCCGATCGAAACCAACCGGCGTTTCCTGGCCTCGCCTTGGCGGTTGAGTTAGGCACAATGACTGACTTTGCGGCATAAGTCAGGGATATGTGAGGCCACTCAACATACCACCGGGGCCCTCCAACAAAGAACCGTTGCGCAGTACCACAGGCGAGGTGCATATTCGCCGGGTGAGGGTGCCAAACCCCTCCTGATTGGCTCAGTCTGCTGCGTATCAGTCATCCAGTGGTGATTCCACGTAATGTGGCATAGGGCACTGTGTACACACGAGCAAGGCCCGCAGCCCCATGGGCGGCAAGCATCAAACTGCAATTGCGGCTGTGCGTGGCAGTACGTCGCGCTACACACAACGTGGCACGTTGGTAAATGAGTCTGACGAAGCCTCATACTATTCCGCGACAGATGCCAGATAGAAGCCACGACGCCCTCCGTCATCGACATCTGTGTGTGTGCCCAAGAGGGCTCTGACATGGGACCCAAGGCAGTTCTGCTTGCGCTGCCCGGGCCCACATGCGACGAGGTGTGTCAACTGCTCCGTGAGGCAGCGGACCACGTGCGGGACAGCACTGCAGAGTACCGGTCCCAGATCCTCAAGCTGTCCGAAACGCAGGTGGGGGGATGGCGCAGTCTCTCAGAGCGCTGCTTAGCTCGTCTTCTGGCGTTCAGCGGAGGTGGCAATGCCATATTCACCAGGAAAAAGGGGTCCAAATAACACATGCTCAAATGTGTGCAAAGTTTACGGGTTTGTGTTATTTCCGTGTTTTAGCATGCAGAACACTGATAAAAAATGCATATGTATGTGTTCGCAATGAGTGTTATTTGGTCTTTTTTTGCTAGTGATTGCCAGTACGAACCTGTTGTCACAGCATTTTGGATCGCTACGCAACAGTCAATGTCATCCTTGCACTGTGATTGGGGATGCTCGAAGCACGCCCTACAGAATGTGCTGCAGCCAGTGCCAAACCGTGCCAAACAAATTTGCCAAATGGCTTCGATCGACAAGTCCAAAATCTGAGCTTTGGTTCGGGGCACTGCTTTGCCCATACACGCAGATTGGAGCCCTCGCCCCCGCCAAGCTGGAGGAGAAAATTCTTCGCGCGGTGTGGGGAATGAGCTCCCAGAAGCTGTCTGAAGATATGGCGACATTATTGAGGCACTTCTGGAGCCACCAAGAGGCAGAGCTACCCGATCCTGTGAGGGGTAACCTGCACAAAGTACTTCGGTACCTCATCGAGAACAAGTCGTGGGAGACGGCATCCTTCTTGCTGAGGACTGGACTCGAGAGCGGCGTGAAGACCAGTGTGTGCGGGTCGGTGCTGACGCAAGCAGACATGCATCCCGAGAGCCTCCAGGCAATGGCGGAGCGCCTCTGGCATGTCTTTGGAACGGATGAGCCTGGTGAAGGGTGAGCTGTGGAGCTTGGGTTGGCAGAATGTGCCCCACACTGTTGGGGGAGAGTGTGCCTCTACCAGTAATGGCCGCGGTCATTGGATGGTTCAATTCTCCACGAAATAGCAGCCGCCGTCCCAGCGTGAGCCGCAGCCTGCGTAGGTGGAGCATATATGTGCACGGTTTGTGAAGCAGTGCTTGATCGAGACACAACGAAGAAGACTTGAGAATTTTTCTGAATTCTCAGGCAGGAATTCACAACTGAGCTGGTTGAAATTCAGACTCTAGCAGGTAAATGGAACCGATTGTACCAAAAGTTAGAGCCCTTAGATGGTGACGTTGAAAGAGCGTCCAGGAGACGGGTTTGCGATATTTGCAATTTCATTAGTCGAATCATTGCTCTGTGCTCCCAAAAATGGGTAGAAGGGGCATATAATGCGCCAATCTGGCTTCCTCAATGTTGGGGCTCGATGTAGTGTACTGTGTGGGTGTGTATATATACAGAATTCAATGCTGTCGGAAATTCTTCACAGACAGGTATGAGATGTTTTCTAGCCACCGGTTGCTGCACTGAGGATCTTTTCTGTTTCCCGCTGCCATTGGTAATTATGATGTCAGAGGTGATGAGTAAATCATGGAAGAAAACAGCGGACACTGTAGTGGCTCCACGATAAGAAGCATCAGTGGGAGGTGTGCACGAGTGTCGCAGCCGGTCCACACCCATGATGCCTTGCCGTGCGTAAAGATGGGGATGCTTTGGTGATTTTTTATTTATGCTCGATCTCCATGAGCAGAATTAGTTGCGCGTGTGCTTTCTTCACGGGGATGGCTTGGGCAGTTTGAAAAGTTGAAGTGAATACTGGCTTGATTGCATTATTTAAATGTAAAACAGAATTGTGACTCAATTCTTCCCTTAGAAAGGCGTCTTGAATGCAACATAGCAGTGTTTCGAGGGATAGCAGCACAAGTACAAAATGGTCTACAATTAAGATAACTTCATAGTATTGCCAGCATTAAGAAGAACACATCATGGCAGTGTACAATTGCAGGATTCGGTTCTTGCTCCGTGAGCTAGGTGTGCGTGTCGGTGGCACTGCCGCACAGGCAGTAACCGTTGCCCTAGATGCTGTTCTGGAGGTCTGCGTTGCTGGGGCAATGGCTCCTTTCGGATGCCAATTGCATCAGCCTGAACCGCGATAGCGACAGCAACTTCTGCATTTGCTTAGAAAACCGAAATAGTCGCAACTGGATAAAGCAAGGCAACACATTTCAGATTCGGGTATGTTCGCATGGACATTTGATGTCCATTTGGTTGATGCACATTGAACGGTGTTGTGATTTCATCTGGTACTTCTCCTGGTTTCTCTTGGATGAAAACACGACAATGGATTCAATGACGTCGTGTGGTTTCATCTCCTGTTGCGCAATCGTGGATGGTTGTGCTGATGCTAATTGATGTGCGCATGGGTGGTGGAGACTTGATTGTGCCAAAACTGCGAATAGCAGTGAATCGTTGGCAAAGTATTTGCAGAAAAGCGCAACCACGGCGCCCCGTGGTGGACCACCACTGGTGTTCATTCGCCTTTACACATACTTGTACAGAGTGCCTTTAAGAAATTGAATTTTCCATTCTTATCTGTATGATGTTGGCATATTTGCGTCTCCAAGTATTTGCGTCTCAAATGTAATCCATGGATTTTGATGATGATATTTGCGTCTCACCATGCATGGAATGCGGCTCAGTGCACAGTACACGTAACCGCAATTTCCCACAACATACGTGTCCTCTCCTCTACGTTGCGGGTAAAATGGTGCGTAATGGATGTGGTTTTTTGCAATCCTCCGCACATATGGAGGTGACGCAGACATCGCCGATGTCTTCAACAGACAACTGCCGGAATCTGGGCATCAAATGGGACGGATTTAGCATAAAACTCTGCAGTGGTGCAGGGCGGTCGAATAGGGCATACAATTTGTAGCCCATCCTGCGACTGGAGCTTAGATTGCTTCTGCGTGAGGGGATTCTTTCCCACCTGGACCTACGTGTAATTTATCTGTGCGGCACATATGTGGTAACGCGCAGGCACACTGGCCGAATGCATTGTTTAGCATTCTCTCATTATTCTCTTCGCGCAGATGCATATAGCAGTCAATCTCAGTCTTCCTTTACCTTTGCCACTTGAAACCAAACTACTTCGAAGTACAATCAAGACACGGAGTACTGACCCAAACTTTACATTTAGGCTCGAAACAGAAATCTGTCTCGCAGGCAGTGGTGGGTGGCATTAAAGCAAGATACATGGCGGTGTTTGGGCACCCCTCAAATAGGGAGATTCCCCGCGGATTGGAAAAGCCCTCAAGGAGCCCATCCAAAAATTATCCTTGGATCCCTGTAAAAGTTGTTCCAACAGTCAAGCAGCGTGCAAACGCAGCCAGTGGACGAATGGGTTCAACTACAAAAGTGTTGAACTGCCAGGAACTACATTTGGCTGCCGGGTACAACCCTGAATGTCTGGCTGGGGCGCCCCGACCGGGGGTGCTCAGGTTTGGGCCTTTGGATTCTTAAGCATTCACGCATGTGCACCCGAAATCCCACGCACGGAAAAGCCCCAACGACGGGTGCTGACGAGGAGCACTGGCGTGCATAGCGACCCGTCCACCGGGCCGATCCCTTAGTCACTGGTCCGAGTCGCGCCCCGGCCGCATACGTCCCGCAGACACGGCAAGCGCTTGTCAGCGTGACCCCTAATCTGAAGCTCGTCGATTGACGTCAATCACATAAAATAGAATCCATCCTGACGCGCTGCTGTTCTGAATAATGCCGGCCGTCAACCTTTTCCAAGCAGTCCGACGTGGCAGACACCCGGATGCGACAGCTGCCCAGCGTGAGACGCCCTTCTGCGCGGCGCAAGGTGCAGGGTTCACTGCCGGCTGGCCCTACGTGTGTTGCCTTCTCCTCGTCCGTGGAAGGGAGGCGTTAGCGGCGAAACAGGCGAGTGATCGCTGTCGCAATGGCGGCCTGGCCTGCCGGTTGCCCGTAAGGAACGGGGTTGGGTGGAGGTTGGAATGATCAGTCATGGGGTCTTCAGTGGCGAGAAAGTCGCCTGGTCGCATGCCAAGCGTGGCGACTGCCCCCTTGGAACAGTGGACCCTTGCATCAGGGGCAACCTGGGCTTTTCAGCAGGTGGGTGCCTACTCCTATTGATAAGAGCCAGCTGCAGCTCAGAACCTTAGGTCCGACAAGTAAAGCTGCCCCGCACAGTACCGTCTTTCACATAGGGGCTCGCTTGTTGCCGCTGCCTTCTGAGACCAGTCGGGCAGCGGCCGTGAGCCGAGTGGTCGCCAGAGATGTGAATCCTTCGCTGCCTTTCCGTCGCCACGTTCGGCCGCGGTCATGGCTATGGAACGGGCGCGTTTCCTGCGATCCGTAGATTCCCATCACGGCGGCTGCCCGCAGCCAGCGTTGCGGTTCGGACATGACCCTGCTCAACAGCGTTAACATGATTTGCTGTGATTGCACTGCAGGTGCGGATAGGGATTCGGCCACGAGGTAGCGCTTCTTGAGCCGCCTTCCCTCGTCATCGACGCTGACAGATCGGCAAAGGTGCGCGGCCCCCGTGATACGCAGGTCCAACTCCCAATGCGTGTCGCCGTGTGCATCAATGGCCGACTGCTCTCTCGACTTCCCCTGCGGCGCGACCCTGGTCATCGCACGGCGAGCTCACTTCCCAAGGGTTCCTTGGCTGGCATTTTTCAGGGAAGCGAAGGGCCGGCGCAACAGACGCCGAAGCGCCACGGGCTTGTTGAAACCTGTTGCGCGGTCGCACTGCTTCCGGCACTGTCCGTGTGGCGCCCCCTCGCCGCCCCGACCCCAACCATCACCTGCCCGGGCCGCGGATTGGGACCTCTGTGCCGTCGCCAAACTTGGTTAGCCCACGTCAGAGGCCAACCCATCACGTGGTACGGGGCTTGTCCGTACTCGGGGACTGGAACCTCGGCTGCGATCCAATCAGTGACGAGAATCCCCTCTAAAGGGGATCCGTAAATTTACGGATAAGAACTTCGCGGGCACAAATCCAGCGCAGTACCTCTCGTACAAGCACATTGTTGTGTGCGTATTGTCCCTGTGGCGGAATCACTCGCATATGTTCTGTTCCGCATCCGCCACGTGCGCACTGCTCAGCCATCAGGCGCAGCAGCGCCAGCGCCGAATACGGCAGTACTCGGCTGGTTTAGTTGGCTGCATTTGTCGGGCATACACAAGATGCATCCTTTTGACGCATGACGCGACGTTCACACGCTAGGTTCTCTGTGGGACTATGTCGCAGGCAGGCATGGCCACGGGCTTAGAGATACAGCCGAGGGAGCGGAGACGCAGATATGTCACTCACAGGCACGTTCCTTAAAATGCACCCACCAATCATGGGAGCTCTCCGTCAATCATGGACCAGTCACTGTCGTATCAATGTCTGGTGCTCTCGATCCGTGGGCGGTCCTGGACGTGGCCATCATACATTCTGATGGGTCATGTGTTGCGGTTGTAGCACGGACGGGGACGTGCACATTTTTTGGGTCGCAACACCATATGTAGAAAACCTTCAGCTGTTGATCCGCGATATCACGATGAGTGGTGACGATGCACTGCGACAGGGCCGGGAAGAGACCATGGGACCAATATTTTATCGATATCGACTTCCGCACTCATGAGGGCGCCTAATTTAGGCCAAATGAGAGTAGCTGACGGGGCTGCTCGTAGGTGCGTGCACGGAGGCGTGCCAACTGCTTCAAGCAGCTTTGGACCAGGTGCGGGCAAGATGCCCCGAGGGTGGGTTCCTGCTTTTGGGAGTTGAAGCCGAGCAGGTGCGTTCTTGCCAATCACCTGTGATGCCTTGTTCGTTGCCATTCCTTTGATCTTTGCCTCGCAAAACACACAGCTCCCGGACCTATACACCTGCGCCCACGCGCCGCCGTGCTTTCTTCAAAATACTCTAGTTCAGTCAGTTGGGATGTGTGTCTGCAA